CTCTAAGTTGTGGAGGGGAAAGCTTAGAGAGTGGCCTGAAATTGAGGCTGTGGGTGGGTGTGGCCAAGACTCAAGGCAGCCCTTAGGAAAGGGTAGTGGGCACAGTGAGGTTGGCTGCAATGGGGGCCAGCTTCTCTCTCCTGACCTCTGGCAGTGGACTTTGCACCCTGCTCTTGGCATTGGTCAGGTAGCAGCAGCCTGGCTCTCCAGGGCTTGCCCTCAAGCTGCCCACCCTGGCTGTTTGCAAAAGCTGTCTGTGCAGCTGGCTTCAGAACCCCAGCTGAGACCTGAAAGAGTTGGAGAGCTATGGGTTTGTGTGGGATGCAGACTGCTCTTGGCCAAATACCCTGTGGCCAGCATTGGCTGGCCCCAGCAGCCAGGAGCAGCAGTGCAAGAACCAGAATGACAGACTCTCTCAGGAGCTGTTTTTGGTCCCTGCTGCACAGGCCATGGCAGGCTGCTGAGGTCCTTTGTACTGTGGGGCCCATCCTGCGGCAGCTCATCCCATTGTTGGGAGCTCAGGCCACCAGATGTTGCAGCCTCCTGGGAAGTCCCACTCACTGGCTCTGCCGTGGCCACCCTGAGCCCATGTCTTCAGGTTTTCCCTATCAACCGCCCCCCCTCCCCAAGAGGCCTGACCAAGCCTGGGGGACTCCTTGCTACTGGACATGACACTGGCATTTCTGGACAGGGCCAGGGTTGGGGGCAGATGCCAAACCTTCCTGCTGGCCAGGCTTGGAACACCTCCTTTGCTTCTGTCCACTGCTTTCTTCTGCCCTAGTCTGGCAGAAGGTAAAAATACATTAATTTCAAGTGCCTAGAACAGGGCTGGAAGCAACGAGCTTTCAGTTGCTGTAATAGCTCTGGTTTGCTCTGCTCTTCTGGGATCCACAACCACCCCCAAGTGCCTGACCAGGGACAACATAGCTCCCAGGGGTCCCACCTACAGGAGGAGGGTCAGACAGGGGGCTCCCAGCAAGTGCTGATGGCACAAGTCTGGGATGGTCATCGGGTTGGGCACAGTGGAACAAGACTGGCAGAAGAGCCAGGATGGGCTGGAGCTGAGCCTGACACTCTCCAGGCCACTGGCCATGAGGCCTCCTCCCATGGCAACAAGCTTGTTGACCTGCAGCTAGCTCTGCCGGAGCCCACCCAGCACACATCCTGGATTCGCCCCTGCTCCCACTGCACCCAGCTGATAGGCCCAGTTGGTGTATAGATGTCTGTGGCCATTTAATGTGACCCAGAGATAGATGAGCCTTGAGAGGGCAGGTGGAAAACACCCACCCTGTGGAGCCCAGCCTCTTCTAAACAAAGCCAGCAGCAGCCTGGCAGCCCACCCTCAGCACTTCCTGCATCTCAAGCCCACCACTCACTGGCTTGAGGGAGGGGGGGCAGTGTCTACCCTTTCCTCCCAGGTCCCATGGCTCAGAGAGGCTCTTCTGACTACAGGGTGTTCCTGGGTTGCAGCGAGCTTTGGCTGTTTCCTACCCAGCAGGAAGGTGATCGTGTGGCAGAGAGGACCGAAGGAAAGGCTGTGGGTGGGATCTATGGGCTCCGAGCTAGCAGTGGAAGGTCCCCACAGGAGCCTTTCAGGGAGGAGTCCATGTGTGGGTGGATGAATGGGGGCTGCTGGGTACAGGTGGTAACAGCACAGACAACAGAACACAGGTGGGAGGGTTTTCAAACCATTTACTAAACAAATTCTTACCCTCCCCCAAACGGCGAAGGAGGACAGCACCCCAGCCCCACACTCAGGATCTTGGCCTGGGGAGCTGCTGGGTTGAGGGAGGGGAGGAGGGAGGTCCAGACCAAGTCTCTTGGGCCCCCTAGGCTCAGGGCCTGCTGATGGCGGTAAAGGCCAGCTGTACATATCCTTCATGCAACCCAGGCTGGGGGCCCCGGGCCCTCAGCCTGACCCTCTGGAATCAGCAGAAACCGCTGGTGGGGACGGGGAGAGAAGTGGCATCTTCGGTCCAGCGCCCACACAACCAAGGAATCTGAGCCCCACCCACATCGGAGCCAACAATGCCCCCAGAAAAAGAAACCGAGCAAGTCCTCCCAACTGCGTGTCGCCTGTTCAGGGCAGGGCACCGCCCAGGACCCAGCGAGTAACGGTCGGAGTGGACGGGCTGCGGAGCTCCATGGCCAGTACTCCGGCTTGTGAGCGTCGCTGACACGAGGGGCCCCACCGTGCCTGGCGCCCTCAGACGTAGTTTTTCTTGTCGTAGTCGCCGCTGGCCGCGGGCCGTCGCGGCGCCGAATACTTGACGGGGAAGCTGAGGTCCCGGCGGCCGGCGCAGACCCAGGCGCCGCAGCACACGAGGCCCCCGCCGCACATGAGCAGTGCCGAGGCGGCCCAGCCGATGTACAACGCTGCTCCCAGTTCGTACTTGTTTGACACGGATACATTCGGGTCGTAGAATTCGCGGACCACGATGTTGGCGAACCAGCAGAGCGGCACGAGCGCCAGCAGCCCGCAGAATGCGTAGAGCGCGCCGCCCGTGAGAGCCACGCGCGCCTTGTTGGGACCCGGGGCCACGCAGGTGGTGCACTGCGCGCCCGCCAGGGTCAGGCAGAGCGCGAGGAGCGCCAGCAGTGCGGCGCCCACGGTGAGCGCCCGCGCCGCCTGCACCTCGGCGCTCAGCGCCAGCACCGAGTCATACATCTTGCACTGCATGTGCCCCGTGCTCTGCACCACGCACGACATCCACAGCCCCTTCCAGGTGGTCTGCGCCGTCACGATGTTGTGGTCCAGGAAAGCGGTCACCTGCCACATGGGCAGCCCGCACGCCAGGATCAGGCCCACCCAGCCCATCAGGCACAGCACCAGGCCGAGGATCTCCAGCGCCGCCGACCCCATGGCTGGAGGTGAGACGCGCGCGCCCGATGGCCCCGGGACCTCCGCGGGGGGCGCGGCGGTGCCTTCGCCGAGCAGATCGGCGCCCTGCGTGGATTCTGGTGCCCTTGAGCCCGCGCACAGACCTCTCAGCTTGCTCCACTGGCCTGAACACAGACTTCGCGTCTGCCGGCACCTCCCGGGGTCCCTCCCCTTTGAAAGTTCGGGGGGCGGACTCGGGTCCGGCCTCCTGGCCCGAGCAGCCAATCCGCGCTGAAGCTGTCGGCCCGCAGCCAATCATGACGCCCCCCAGTAGCCGGCAGGTAGTAAAATTACCGTGAGTGAGGATAGCCGAGAGCCCGGGGACCGCTCCCGGCACGGCCTCCACCCCCCAGCCACCACCGCTGTCGGTTGTCTAATTGTGGCCGAGCACTTTCTGGGTTGGCCTGGGGTGGCTGCTAGCGCGCTCCTCCTCGGCCACCTCCTTGCATGTCCCCGCCTCGCCATTTTAGGAGCTACATGATCCCCAACTTCCCCCGCCACTTCCCGGAAAGAGCCCTGATGGTCCCCACCCCCAGGGCAGCTCCACTATTCCCTGGCCAAGGTCTGAGGGAGTCCCCACCATCACCACCGCGTAGAGGCCTGCGTGTGGGACTCTCGTGGTTTCTTCCCCAGCTCGCCCTGGAGACTAAGCGGATCCAGACCCTTCACCGCATCCTTACTGCTCGGTGCCCCTCCGAGTCTTGGCGCAGTCTCTCCCACAGGCGGAGAGGCCAGGCAGAATTGTGCGAGTCGGGCTGGCCTCCTGCGTCGTCCAAGGTCCTTCCCAGCACCATGCCCACCCAATCACTGCCTCCCTGGGGCCTGAGGCCCCAGCACGAAGCAGGAGGCACAGATGATCTCTCGGAAACCCCTCCTCCCATTCTGCTGCCGCCCTGGAGACTTTCCAGACCTCCCAACCTTCGCAGACTGCTCCTCTTCCTAAGATGCTGCCCATCCCCCATCGTGAGAGGCCCAGCTCAAGCGACACCCCTTCAGAAAGTCTCCAGTGTTCCCCAATGACCCAGCATACAGGCTGTACTGCGGTGGCCCAGCTCCAAGGCCTACTCTGGCCTCAGACAGGAGAGACATAAAGGGACAGAGGGGCTGTGCTCTGCCCTTCCACCAGTGGTAACTCTGATACCCCAGCCCCCAGACCAACCTCCGGAAGCCAACTTGGAGTTTCCTGGCCAGGAGGAAGAGCCTCCATCCTCACTAGAGGAGGGAGGTTCGGGATTTCCGGGCATTCTTCTGCACAATGGCCCAGCAGTTTCTCGAAAGGCCTACCAGGATGAACACAGGAGCCCCACAGGTGGGGCACCAGGCCCTGCAGCCCACAACCCATGGGGGCACCAGCCCTTTCTGGCAACCCCCTCCTCACTCTCTGTCAGCGCCCTTGTTTCCAGTAAAGTCTACTCTGTCCTGGACTGGGGCCCCTGGTATGCCTGTGCTTTCCTATGGCCTGAGGTCCTTGCCTCTGTTAGCCAGGGCCCTCCACAGAGGAGACCCGGCATTCTGAGGTCAACCACAGCGGGGGAGCTTTCCTTCTCCTTCCTCAGGTGGCTCTGAGGTAAGGCCAATACCCTGTTCCTCCAGCACCGGGAGGAAGGCATGTTTGCTGGGCCCTGCAGGCAGGGGTGGGATGTGGAGGGAAGTTTTACCCCCTTCCTTACCCCTACCTTACCTCCCAGCACCAAGAACCACAGTCTCTTCCCAGCCACCACCTCACTGGCTGCTACCCTCCTGCTGCAAACTATCTCCACCTCCCCTCCCCCAATACCCTGCAGACCCTCCTGGACATCCCCTCTGCCATCCACTCCAGGAGGCCCAGCTACAACACTCACCCCACCCTCTCAGTCCTGCTTCCCCTAGTCCAAGTCCAGAGACTTTGCCCAAGGCCCCCCTCTACATCCACACTGCCTTCTTCCCAGGACGCCCTCTGCGGCCTCAGACTGTGTGGGCCCCACCCTTGCCCACTGGGCTGTTCTCAGGGTAGTTGGGCCATCCCAGCAGGCCCCTCCCTGACTCACACTGCCTAAAATCCTCCATGGCTTTCTTCACTGCCCAAGAACAAAGTGCTGATTACTGGGAGTGGCCTAGGGTGACGTGTGCCTGGCTGTGTTGGGCCCGGTCTAGTAGCACGCACTCCATGCTCCGCCCAGACATGCCTCCCTCTGGGCCCTCAGGCTGGTCTGTCTCCCGTCCACAGCCTTTTCTGCCTTCAGTGCTTGTCCCTTGGCTTGGGGCCTGCTCATCTTCTACATTGTGTTGCTGAGGCCACTTCCACTCAGAGGCCTTTCTGCCTCGTCCCCTAGCCTTGCTCCCAGAGGTCCAAGCTGGAACTGTCCATCTGCTTGTTGGTTTTCCCCACCAGTATCCAGGAACGAATCTCAACACAGTGGCCATCTTCATGCATCTGTACCAGGTAGGGGCCTGTTTGCTGCTCCTTCAGCCAGCTTGGGGTGCAGCTGCATGAGGCTCTCCCCTTCACCTGCCCACCTGCCTCCCTCCATCTACCACTTTGGAGCCCATCCTTGGGCCCACCTCCAGCCTGGCAGCCCATGGTGCCCCCAGCAATCTCACGACTCTTTGGGACAGCCCCACAGTACCTTGGGGATCACAGTATCTTGGGACTGACAGGTTCCACCTATTACAATCTGATTTCTACCTCAACACTACAGTGGAACCAGAGCCACCACAGACAGGCCAGCTCATACCAAGGGCAGGGTGGAGGAGGGGCTAGGGAGGGGAGGCATGAGGACAGCCCACCCTTCCTTCCACTCAGGGGGATCTCCTGACCTATTGCACGCTGAGCACATTCTTTAGTGGAGCACAACCCAGGGAGCTCCCACCCTCAACCAGCAACTGGGTAAGGCCTTTCAGGTGTGCCTGTTGCCTGGGGAAAGAGACAGCCATGTGATGCAGTGATGGCCTCTCTGAGGAGCTAAGATCTGGGAAGAAGTTCTAGCAAGAGCCCAGAGGTAGGAAGGGGTGAAACCCCAAGAGGGAGCTTGCTCAGGCAGATGGAAGGGGGAGGGCCTGGAAGCCCAGTTCAGAGAGGGTGCAGGGCTGGGCAGGGACGTCAATCCCTGATTTGTGGCAAGGGGCTCCCACCAGCCAAGGCCACCTGCTCATTCACAGCCATTGTTCTCTTCTCTCCCAGGGGAAGTGTGGCAGGATCTCATTAATTGTCTGAGGGAAAGGCCCGAGTCAGCAGAAAAGCAAAATTATCTTGAGCAGCTGCTGGCTGACCCCGAGCCAGGATTATCCGGTGACCTTCCAAGGACAATCTAAACTTAGGCTCCAGAGTCCTTGGGGTTGAGTTTTGGGAAGCTCCTAGTTAAGGGATTTCATTTCAGGGGAAGTGAAAACCAACATTTCTTCTATCTTTCGGCTCTGAAATAGGTAAGGATGTTTTCCTCCAATGCAGATGTTTCTTGGAACAAGACAGTGTTTCAAGAAGCAGCTCTGGTTCCAGGAGTCACTCTGCCCTGCTCTGGGGGCCTGAGGCGCTTGCATGGGAGGGGCACCACCTGCACTCATGCACAGAACACCCTTTGGCAAACAGCCAGTGAATTCACCCTTCAGACTAGTGAGTTGGCCTCTCCTTGCCTTAGTTTCACCATTGGTTACAAAGTCCTCCGTGGTGAAGGCTGCAAGATTGGAGAGGAGGCTATCACTGATCCTGGGTCCTCTGCTACCTTTCCTGAGTGCCCTCCAGGTTCCTGAGACATCTTCCTGGCTCCCTTGACCTTCACAAATCATCTGACTTCAGTCCCCTCCCCGAGAGTGGGCACCACTGGCTATTTGTCAGATTGGAGGGCACTGTGGCTTTACCTTCCCTGGTTGGGGCAGAGAGCTCTGGTTGACAGAGCCCCTGGATGCTGTAGACCCTGTGCCTTCACAACTGCACCCCTCCCCCCTCCCCAGAGCCTGGAGGAGGCCAGCCAAGGCTCTCTGAAATAACAGCAGTGCCCTCACTGCTCCCCACCCCCTCACCCCTTGTGCCTGCACTGCCTCTCCAAACCTTTTCCTTCTCAGTTTCCTTCCTTCCCTGCATTTTGCAACAATTTTATACTCTTTGCACTTCATCATGGACTGATTCTGGGTCCTCCTTTTTCATTTTGCATTGCACTGTAAACATGTTCCTACTTTGTTACAAACATCCTCTTTTTTTTTTAATATATTTTATTGATTTTTTACAGAGAGAAAGGGAGAGAGATAGAGAGCTAGAAACATCGATGGGAGAGAAACATCGATCAGCCGCCTCCTGCACATCTCCCACTGGGAATGTGCCCGCAACCCAGGCACATGCCCTTGACCGGAATCGAACCCGGGACCTCTCAGTCCGCAGGCCGACGCTCCATCCACTGAGCCAAACCGGTTTCGGCCAAACATCCTCTTGACTATGGTTTCTAACTGCCTGCAAGAGGGCCAGGATGCAGCGGTCTGTCTCCATCACTCCGGGGCGGGGCGGGGCATGGCCAGGGAAATCTGTTCTGAGGTTCTAGAAATTGGGGATGCAAAGGATTGTCAAGGGGCTTAGTGGGCATCACTTTGTGGCTCAAGGTAGACAATGGATTGATTTTGATGATGATTATTTTGGTTATGCAACCGTCCCTCAAGACAGTTTTATAAATGACAATTTTTTATTATAAATAATGCTGCTATGAATGTCATTATTCATAAGCCTTGGTATTTTGGATGATTTCCCCAGGAACAATTCTTGATGTAAAATTTCTGGCTCACACCCAACACCTAGACCAGTGATGGCGAACCTTTTGAGTTCGGCGTGTCAGCATTTTGAAAACCCTAACTTAACTCTGGTGCCGTGTCACATATAGAATTTTTTTGATATTTGCAACCATAGTAAAACAAAGATTTATATTTGTGATATTTGTTTTATATATTTAAATGCCATTTAACAAAGAAAAATCAATCAAAAAAATGAGTTTGCGTGTCACCTCTGACACACGTCATAGGTTTGCCATCACTGACCTAGACCACTTATCTGAGTATGTATTTTCACTGCCTGTCACCAGTGATGGGTATTCACAGTTTAAAAATGTTTCTAATTGGATAGGTAGAAAGTGGTATCTTACTTTAATTTGCATTTCTTTGTATAGTAATGAGTTTATATTTCTTTTTCAATTACAGTTGACATTTATACTAGGGGCCCAGTGCACAAATTCGTGCACTTTGAAAGGAACTGTGGGCTGCAAGGCTGCGGTAGACACAGGGGCGGGTCTTGGCCCATCCTCCTCCCTGCCCCCGCCTGGCCACTCCTGCTGTGGCCCCCGGTCCCCTTTCTGTGGCCCCTGGTCCCCTGTCTGCTGCCCCAATCGCCCCTCAGGAGCAGGGGGAGGTGGAGAAGCCTTCAGGTGTGATCAGGGCCAGCAGCCACTGCTCGCACCCACTGATGGTGCTGAGTGATCGGGATCGGCTCCAGCTGCGTGTGTGAGCGGGGCCGGCGCAGGCAACAGGTGGGAGCGCTGGGTGGGACCACGGCCCGCAGGAGCAAAGAATTTTCAGTAACCACCAGGGGCTCGCCCCGATGACAGCAACTGGCACCCTGCCGTGACCTAGCACACCCACTCACCTGCTCCACCATCCCACTGTGGCCAATGCCCGCCATGTTCCACACATGCCGCCTGGTGGTCAGCACATGTCATAGCGACAGGTTGTTTAGTTGTCCCAACTTTTGGTCTATTTGCATATTAGCCTTTTATTATATAGAATTAGTTTTAGGTGTTAAATTTTATTTTCCAATTCAAATGGCTCATTTTTATTTCCTCTTTAATGAATTGTCTATGTACCCACATAGAATATTGATGTTTTTCTCACTATTTATTTATTTATTTTTTAAAAATATATTTTATTGATTTTTTACAGAGAAGAAGGGAGAGGGATAGTTAGAAACATCGATGAGAGAGATCGATCAGCTGCCTCCTGCACGCCCCCTACTGGGGATGTGCCCGCAACCAAGGTACATGCCCTTGACTGGAATCGAACCCGGGACCCCTCAGTCCACAGGCCGATGCTCTATCCACTGAGCCAAACCGGTTTGGCTTTTATCACTATTTATGTTAGAAACATTACTTGCTGTCATATATGTGGCACATCCTTTTGCCATTTGCTACCTAATCTATTGATTTTTTTTTCAGGATGTTATAGATGTTTAAATTTCTGAATATTTAAATCTATTAAGATTTTTTTCTGTGTGATTTCTATCTTTATTTTTATTTGAGAGAGAAAAAGAGAGGGAAAGACAGACAGACATTGATGTGATAGAGAAACATCAATCGGTTGCCTCCTGCATATGTGCCCCCACCAGATTAAATCCACAACCTGGGAATGTACCCTGACTGGGAATTGAACCCCCTACCTTTTTGGTGTGTGGGATGACACTCCGACCAACTGAGCCACACTGGCCAGGGCTCTATCTTTATTTTTAATAATAAAAAAGTCCTTCTAGCCCTGGCCGGTTTGGCTCAGTGGATGGAGTGTCGGCCTGGGGACTGAAGGGTCCCAGGTTCGATTCCGGTCAAGGGCATGTACCTTGGTTGCGGGCACATCCCCAGTAGGAGGCGTGCAGGAGGCAGCTGATCGATGTTTCTCTCTCATCGATGTTTCTAACTCTCTACCCCTCTCCCTTCCTCTCTGTAAAAAATCAATAAAATATATTTTTAAAAAGTCCTTCTATATCCAGAAGATAGAAATTAAGTTACATTTTCTTATAGTTTTCTTCTGCATTGCCTCATGTCAAGGAGAGCTTCCGATTCTGACCGAGCTGGATGGAACTAACAGCAGATTAGAGTTTTGCTCAACCTCAAAATGGGGGAAGGGCAGAGGAAATAATCAGTAAACTTGAAGATAGAATAATAGTATTATCACATATAAACAAGAGAGAGAATGTGAACTAAAAAAAGAACAAGAGCCTCAGGAAATGTGGGATCATAACAGAAGATCTAGCATCCTTGTCATTGGAGTTCCAAAAGTAGAGGAGAAAGAGGATGGGGCTAAGAAAAAGAACTCAAAGAAATAGTATCTGGAAAATTTCCTAAATTTAGCAAAAAGAAAATTAAAAAAAAAACCCCTTCAGATTCAAGATTTTGCCCAAACCTCAAGCAGGATAAACCCAAAGAAATTCACACTAAGATACATCATAAATTAAAAACTAAAGACAAAGAAAAATATTGAAAGGAGCCAGAGAAAAAGGACACTTCACAAATCAAACAACTAAGAATTTCTGATCAGAACATGGAGACCAGAGAAAGTAGCACTTTTTTTTAAAAAGTACTGGAAGGAAAAAATGTCAACCTAGAATTTAATATCTAGTGAATATATCCTTCAGGAGTGAAGGAAAAATAAATATATTCTCAGGTGAAGAAAAACTAAGAAAATTTGTCATAAGCATAAGAATGACTAAAAGATGTTCTTTACACAGAAAGGAAATGGTAAAAGGAGGAATCTTGGAACATCAAAAGAATATGATAAGCAAAATCTTGGTAAGTACAATAGACTTTTCTTCTCCTTGAGTTTTCTAAATAATGTTTGATGATTGAAGCAAAAGTTATTATACTGCCAAAAGTTGTTCTCAGTATATGCAGAGGAAATATCTAAGATAATTACAATAAACAAAAAGGAGAGTAATGGGACACAAATGGAGGTAACGTTTCTACTCTTCATTCCAAATGGTAAAATGTCAACACCAGTAGACTTAGATGAGTTTTGTTTATATAACATAATCTTAGCGCAACCGCTATAAAGCTATGCAAAGAAATACACTTAAACATACTATAGATAATTCAAAATGAAATTCTCAAAGATGTCCAAGTTAACCACATGAAGGTAGGAAAAAATAAAAAGAGAAACAAGAGGGAACAAACAGAAAACAAAAATAAAATGGCAGACTTAAGCCTTACTATATCAATAATTACATTACATGTAAATGATTTAAATACAATAATTAAACAACAGATATTGGTAAAAAAAAAAAAAAAAAAACACGACCCAAATATATGCTATTTAAATGAAACTCACTTCAAATACAATGACATGTGTAGGTTGAAAGCAAAAGGATAGGAAAAGATATATTGTGCAAACATTAATAAAATAAATGCAGGAGTGGCTATATTAATATCAGATAAAATAGGCTTCATTAAGAAAATTACCAGGGACAGAGAAGACATTACATAATGATAAAAGGGTCAACCCACCAAGAAAACAGAGCAATCCTAAAAGTGTGTGCACCAAACAGAACTGGAAAATATGTTAAGCAAAAACTGATAAAACTGAATGGGAAAATAGACAAATTGACAGTTATAGTTGAAGCTTCAACACTTCTTTCTCAGCAATTGATAGAACTAGATGAAAATCAGCAAGAAGATAGAATCAACACCATTACACAACAGGATTTAATAAACATTTATATAACATTAGCCAACAACAGCAGAATACACATTCTTTTAAGTGCCCAGAGAACCTATGCCAAGACAAACCATATTCTGGGCCACAGAAATCTCAAAATCAATGAAAGCAAAAATTGGTTCTTTGAAAAGTCAACAAAATTAACAAACCTTTAGCTAAATTGATCTTTAAAAAAGGGAGAAGACAAATTAATGAAATCAGAATGAAATATGAGATATCACTAACGACATCTTGCTAATAATAAAAGTGATGATAAGGGAATACTGTGAACAATTGTATGCCAACAAAGTAGATAGATGAAATGGACAAGTTCCTAGAAACACAAACTACCAAAACTGACTCAGTAAGAATCAGGAAATCTGAATGGATATATAACAAGTTAAGATATTGAGTTAGTCATATTAAAAACTTCTAACAAAGAGAAGTCTAGGACCAGATGTCTTCACTAATAAGTTCTACCAAATGTTAAAGGAATAACAAACATCAATCAATTTTAAACACACACAAAATAGAGGAGGGAGGGGAGGAAGGAATACTTCCTAACTCACTCTACGAGGCCAGAATTGCCCTCATCCAAAGTCAGACAAAGATATCACGAGAAAACAACAACCAATAATTCGTATAGAGATGCAAAAAGACTCAACAATATATTAGCAAACTGAATTTAACAACATATAAGAAAGATGATTTAACATGACCAAATGAGATTTATTCCAGGAATGCAAAATTGTTTTAACATCCAAATATTAACTAATGCAGTACACCATTTGACAGAATCAAGAACAAAAACAATGATTACCTCAACAGACACAGAAAAAGCATTGGACAAATCCAGCATCCTTTCTTTTTTCTGTTTTAAAATATATTTTTATTGATTTCAGAGAGGAAAGGAGAGGGCAAGAGAGATAGAAACATCAATGATGAGAGAGAATCACTGATTGGCTGCTTCCTACAAGCCCCCCTCCCCCACTGGGGATCAAGCCCACAACCCAGGCATGTGCCCTTGACTGGAATCAAACCCGGGACCCTTCAGTCCGCAGGCTGACGTTCCATTCACTGAGCCAAACCAGCTAGGGCCAGCAGCCTCTCTTGATAAAACACAGCAAACAAGGAATAGATGGGCTCTTCCATCTAATAAAGGGCAGCTATAATGATGAAAGACTGAACATTTTCTCCCTAAGATCAGGAACAAAACAAAGATGTCTGCTCTCATTACTTCTATTTAATTGTACTAGGGATGTGCCTGCAACCAAGGTACATGCCCTTGACCAGAATCAAACCCAGGACCCTTCAGTCCACAGGCTGACGCTCTATCCACTGAGCCAAACCAGTTAGGGCTTGTTGCTATTTTAGATTGTGTCTTTTAAAAATTGAAATCTTCTGATTTTTGCTAATGTATAAAATGCAAATTAATTTGACTTTGAATCCAGCACCCTTAGTTAATGCTAACAATTTATTTGTAGATGCTTTTGGGTTTTCCATGTAGATAATCATATCATCTGCAAATAATGAGAGTTTTGTGTTTTTCTTTCCAAATCCTGTACCTTGTATCTCCTTTTCTTGTTTTACTGCACTGGCTAGGATGTCCAATGGAGCACATTGTGTAGCAGTCTCCCCACCTGCAGGGATAATTCATCATTATGTTGTTTGCTGTAGTTTCTTAATAGATTCCTTTATTCTATTAGCTTTTTTTTTTTTTAAGTTTTTTTTGTTTGTTTGTTGTTTTTTTTTAAATATATTTTATTGATTTTTTACAGAGAGGGAGGGAGAGAGATAGAGAGTTAGAAACATCGATGAGAGAGAAACATCGATCAGCTGCCTCCTACACATCCCCCACTGGGGAAGTGCCCACAACCTAGGTACATGCCCCTGACCGGAATCGAACCCGGGACCCTTCAGTCCGCAGGCTGACGCTCTATCCACTGAGCCAAACCGGCTTCGGCTCTATTAGCTTTTATTCCTATTTTTGTTCTCTGAAATTTTTTTATTATGAATGAATTTAATTTTATTGGATAGGTGTGGTTTTTTTGCATCTATTAAAATATTACTGTGGTTTTCCTTCTTTATTCTGTTAATATGGTGAGTCACATTATGTGATTTGATGCTACACCAACCTTGCATTCTAGGGATAAACCGACTTGGCTATGATAACTTATTTTTCTATAATTGGATTCAGTTTATATAAATGTTCATGAGTGAGATTGACTAGTAATTTTATTTTTTGTCCTGTTCTTGTTCAGTTTGCATATCAATATTATATTAGCCTTGTAAAAATGAGGTATGTATTTCCTATTTTTCTATTTTCTGAAATAAGTTGTACAAGACTGAAACGATCTGTTTCTTGAAAGGTAGAATTTGCAAGCAAAGCTATTTTTAAAAAAATATATTTTTATTGATTTCAGAGAGGAAGGGAGAGGGAGAGAGAGAAACATCAATGATGAGAGAGAATAATTGATCAGCCACCTCCTGCACGCCCCTGTGGTTGCTCCGTATACTCAGGACTAGTGTGCAGGGTGTATGGGAGAGGATCCCCCCATCCCCTCCTCAGACGGTGGCCACACCCAGCTCTCCAGACAGAGAGCAGGAAGCAGCTGTAAACACAGACCAGGCACCCACACTGTTCCCAGGAGCTGGTCCTCTGATCCTATCTCTGCTTGACCTGCCTTTGTTAAACCCTGGGGACTTGGCACTCAGGCCAGGGTTTGCCCAAACAAGGAGTGAGTCAGAGCTGGACATCCAGGGCCAGGCTGACCACGCCAAGGATGTGAGGACACTGCCCTGGCCCTTAGCTCTTCCCAGAATCAGGAGGATGTCATATTTCCCGACCTACCTGCCTGCCCAGGGAGACTGGCAGGGTCTAGACTCTAGTCTAGAGTGTGCAAACTCACTCCTCCACTGCCCTTGTTCACCCCTGCAAACACCCTCTTCTCTTTATACTTTCATCAAAGAGGCAGCACCAGAATGCCCTTGTGACTGGCCATATGACTGGCCTTGGCTGGGTCTGACTCCTGCAGCAAATGCTTGCCCAACTGAACATCCACACAGCTAAGGATGCTGCCTCAGACTGTGTCTTCTCCTGCTCTCATTCCAGACTCCACAGACTGAGTGATGCGGTGGGGAAGAGCTGGGCAGACAGGAAACTGCCATCTACCTGGGAGACTGGGAAGTTGTGGAGAGGGGCTGCCCTTAAAGAGAGTGCAAGCATGCCCACAACGAATGTTTTTGTGGCCCAGCCAATATAACGGTATGTAAGAAACGTTTTAATAAAAATTTTGTAACTTAATTTTTACAATATCCTGTTATACATAATTATTAATAACAAACTACAATGTTCACTAATGACTGATTACTATAATCGTGTTGCATTCATCTCCCTTACACACTTTACATGCAGGTGCACCGTTTCTCCCCACTAATATTAACAGCGAATATTTTAGCAGCCGATTGCTACGTCATTAGTCTTGTACTGACTTCTTTGGTGTGCGCTTTCAGAGAACAAGAAAAATAGGTTTATTTGCATTATGCTTCTTAATTTGGGCAGTTATTCAGTGTCTAGTAAGTTAATGTTTAAGAAAAACATTAATTTTTATTAAAATGTTCTATTATTTATGTTAATGATTACTCATTTATTTCAGCCCTTTGTATTCAGCATGTCTCTATCGAAATAAACCTATGTTTCTATGAAAATTGAAGCTTTTGTTTTTTTTTAAGCCCACAGAAACTTAAACCTTGTGTATTTGGCCTGTGTTAGCCTTTGAGTTTGACATGCTTGGTTTAGAGCAGTGGTTCTCAACCTGTGGGTCGCAACCCCTTGGGGGTTGAACGTCCCTTTCACAGGGGTCGCCTAAGACCATCGGAAAACACATATATAATTACATATTGTTTTTGTGATTAACCACTATGCTTTAATTATGTTCAATTTGTAACAATGAAAATACATCCTGCATATCAGATATTTACATGACGATTCATAACAGTAGCAACATTACAGTTATGAAGTAGCAACGAAAATAATGTTATGGTTGGGGGTCACCACAACATGAGGAACTGTCTTAAAGGGTCGTGGCATTAGGAAGGTTGAGAATCACTGGTTCAGAGGAATGAGTAGAGTTCACCGGGGTGAGGGTGGAAATAGGCATTCCTAAGCAAGAGCAGTAACAGTAGCAGTGAGGTGGGGGGAAGGGAAGGGATGGGACACAACAATAGAACAACTGAAGCCCCACCCTAACCCCCAGATGCTATGTGATGCTGGGAAGAGATCTCACGGGAACAAAGCCAAGAGCCCAGGTTTTCAGGAAGTTAATGTTTCCCAGAAGCGACCATTCCACTGTGGTCACATGGCCACATCTAGCTGTCAGGAAAGATGAAATGTAGTCTTTCAGCTGAGTGGCCACAGACTCAGAAGTCAAGGGGCCTCCTATTCTCAGAGGAAAGGGACCATCCCCAGCCACCTGCTGGGCTCTGAGGGCCTGTGGATCTCAGGGCCAGAGAAGCAGAAGTGAGTCAGAGACTCTGGACCTAAGATAGGGTTCAAGATGGCGGGCAGACCCTACCTACAGCACTCTTCTTCCTTCCACTATAGAATGTCCCACTGCATCTAACAGTAAAGATGTTGAAAGCTAATAAACCCATTCATAAGTTTTAAGAGGCTTTGAAGAGTTTTTAGAAGAGAGGAAGGAGACAGGGTGAGACGGAAAGATAAACCAGGATGGAGGTAAATGCTAACCCTGAGTGCAGATGAGGAGCCATGACCCGGGAAGAAGGAGGGCTGCAGCTTCCAGTTGAGCCTTAGCAGCCACTTTGTCCCTCCTCAGTACATGCATAAATACATCATGGCATGTCCACACAGGGGAATATTATGCAGCTGTAAAAATGAGCAAAGGGGAGCAACACACTTGTGTTAATTTTGTAGATGCAATGTTGGGTGAGAGGTACAAGATCCCAAACTGTATTTATACATGACTCTGTAGTAGACTGCTTTCCAAAGATGTCACAAAAGCAGATCTAGCCAATGTCCTATTGCGCATTCTCTTCTTTTAAAAATTAAATTAAAAAATTTAAATTGTGGTAAATTCCACATCTTAATCATGTTCAAGTGTACACTTCAGCAACATTAAGTATATTCACATTGTTGTGCAACCATCGCCACCATCCATCTCCAGAACTTCTTCATCTTCCCAAATTAAAACTCTGTACTCATTAAAAAAACCTCCCTGTTCCTCCTGGCCCCTGGCAACCACCAATCTACTTTCTGTCTCTATGAATTTGACTGCTACATTCATAGGGATCTTGATCTATATTTTTCTTGTGAAGTCTCTATCTTTGGTAGCAAGGTAATTGGCTTCTTAGAATGAGTTAGGAAGTGTTCCCTCCTCTTCTATATTTTGGGAAAAGTTAGAGAAAGATTGGTGGTAATTTTTTAAACACTTGGTAGAATTCACTAGTGAAACCATCTGGTCCTGGGCTTTTTTTGGTATGTGTGTGTTAGAAAATTTTTATTACCCAAATTCATAAAATTTGGGAAGATTTCAGCCTTTAGTTCTTATTGAGAATCAGCTGTTTTTCTTGGATAAATCTTCCCCAGTTTGCCACAAGCTTTTGATTAATTTCCAGACTTCAAAAGAAGTTGATCCTGACAATTTTTGCCCATGTTTTAAAAAAATATATATTTTTATTGATTTCAAGGAGGAAGGAAGGGAGGGAGGGAGAAACATCAATGATGAGAATCATTGATCGACTGTCTCCTGCACACCCCACACTGGGGATAGAGCCGAAACCCAGGCATGTGCCCTGACCGGGAATCGAACCATGACCTCCTGGTTCATAGGTCAACCCTCAACCACTGAGCCACGTCGGCCAGGCACACTCATGTTTTTATTGTTTTTATAGAGGGATGGAATGTGGAGTTCCTTTCTCCTCTATTTTTGTTGAAATCATTCCTTGGTTCAATACATACAAGAGCATACAATAGCATCTTACCTGATAAGAGATTTATTTAGTTACTAGAGGCCTGATGCATAAAATTCGTGCAAGGGACTCGGCTCTCGCAGCTGCGGTGGCTGCCTTGGCCCTTGCTGCCCCGGCTTCGTCCAGAAGGTCATCCTTATGGTCGTTCCACTGTTCAGCCATCTGGTCTAATTAGCATATTGTGCTTTTATTATTATAAATAAAGGGAGACATTAAGATGATGGTTCTTTTTGTAAAAAAAATATATTTTATTGATTTCTTACAGAGAGGAAGGGAGAGAGATAGAGTTAGAAACATCGATGAGAGAGAAACATCGATCACATGCCCCTGACCCGAATCGAACCCGGGACCCTTCTGTCCGCAGGCCGACACTCTATCCACCGAGCCAAACCGGTTTTGGCAAGATGATGGTTCTTAAACTGTAAGGCACATATGAATTAACTGGAGGTGATGATTATAAGTACATATTCCTAGGTCCCACCACAAATTCTGATATTTTTGCCAGGGCCTGGGAATCTGCATTTAAGACAGTCTCTCAGAGGGCCCTCTTTGGAAGCACTGGATTCGCAGGACTAAGTGTAATAACAAGACAGTTGGGAGGTTGAGAGGAAGAGAGGTCATGTAAATGTGTTCGTTTCACATTTTTCATAGAATAGAGCCAAGAGAAACTGTCCAGCAGTTGAGAAATCAAGACATGGGGTTCATGCTTTAGATTTATGGAGGTAACCATAGTAAGAAGTGGAAATAGAAATGGTGAAGAGAGGAGGCCTCCAGTGAGAGGACTGAGGAGACATGGGGCCACTTTGACAATTTATAGTTTGAACTTTCTTTATCAAATACAGCTGTTATGTTTATAATAAAACAAATGCAAACAAAAGAATTGGGAAGTCAGTAGGAGGGGGCTACTGGCCAACAACCCTGGCTTGCCGCCTTGGCACCTCAGCCAGCCTGGCCCCAGCTACCTGCCATCTACCGGCTAACAGCTGTGGCTGCACTATGCAGCCTGGCCCTCAGGAAAGGTGCCACCGAGCAGGCCTCCTCTCCTTTAGCTCAGACCACACCCTGGCCACCTCACTGCAGAGAAGTAAGCCCTGGCAACAAGATGACGAGAACACTATGATCCAAGGAAGTCAAGAGCTGCAACTTGGAGTTGTAGAGGTTGCAAGAATCTTCCCAAGGTCACAGAGTGACCCAGTCCTTCCCCAAACCGGTAGTCTTTGAGGCTTAAGAACATAAGCATAAAATCAAAAGCAAACTTTGCTTGGAAGCTGGCTGTGGGCGGTTGGCTTAACTTACACCATGGATTCACCAGCTAACTGTTTCAGAGGTCTGGGCAGGGGGCCACCTGACAGGGTATGCTGAAGAGCCGAAAGGGGATGGCTACTTCTGGGGGAGGGGTGGGCGATGACAACCGTGCCCCTGGACAGTGGAGAGATGTGGTTCAGGGCTGTTTTCGGGTGAAGTTATCTGGACTGCGCAGCTAAAGCTCTCCGGTCCAAAGCAAATGCCAGAGACTCATTGTCCTTTCCACAGTGGAGGTATTTCTCCCTTCCCAAACATCCTGTGCCAGCATGGGAAATGCCTCCAAACAGAGATGTAGATAAAGCTCTTCTCCGTGGAGCCCAGAATCCACACCAGGGCAGGGATGGGGAGGAGGGTATCAGTGGAAGGTGGAGTTCTGGGACCCCAGCCTTCTGATATCCCAGGCAAGCTGACACCATGCTCAGATGAGCTGGACAAAGGACTTAGGGAGTTGGTGTTTGGGGGTTTCTCACAGTGCCATGAGTGCCACTATAGCAGGAGGCTTCTCAGAAGAAACAGCACAGGAGCTGGGCCTGCACTGGGCAAGCTTTGGATGCAGGAAGGCAGAGGAGTGCCCCTGCCTTACTTTAATGGGCAGGAAGGTACGGTGACATACTCATCTCTCAGGCTAACCTTGCCTCTTGCTCTCTGGGTTTCCTGAAATGAGCTCTGGGAGGGGGAGGAACCCCACAGGCAACACCAAAATTATGACCCCACTTGGAGGCTCTGCCAGCTCATTGTCCACAAGCAAATGCTATGTATATTTAAAAAGGAATTCACACCTTTGCTAGTGTAAGTTCTGCTTTCACCCCTGGCTTCGGGAGTGAGGAGAACCAGCTCTGTTCTTCTTCGGTTCTTCGCGAGGTGGGGGCCAGCATCTCCCACCTTTAGCTTCTTTACCAACTGCCAAATGGGTGGGTAGATGTGTCCCAGGTGTCATCAGCACAGTGACAAAAGGAATTCAGGCTGAGCAGTCAGTAATGTAATGACTGCAGCAGCAAACACTTGGCACCTCATGGTGTGCCTGGCATTATTCAAGTGATGGACATATTCGACTCTCCAATTCTGCTCTCTGTTCTGATGTGTGGGTTTTCCCCCCGCCACTGAGCAGTTCTGGGACACCAGTTGGTGTCCTACAATTTAATTCAATTCTGACACTATCTGCCTGTAAATAGCACCGAATTCCACAGGTTGAGGGCTCAGTCCAAGAAGACTATCCCCACTTCAGATGCCAATCACAAGTCCAGGTTGTCACCTTTGCT